CAACTTCCCCCTCAGTATGATGTCAGAGTTGTAGAATATTGTGGAATTAAGAAGGCATCCAAAGATCTACATTTTATACACAGCATCTCTTTCTCCCTCTCTTCAACACATGTATCTAGACTTGGGGTGAGTTAAACCAGTAATATCATACAGATTGATATTTGATCTACTGGGTATCATCCCTCAAAATGGCTTATACATAATCATATATATATATATATCTCTCTCTCTCTCTAATGGGGTTACCCCAAGTCACCATGGGTTTCAATACTAAGCCATGGTCTAATGACTTGGATGATTCGGGGTACCCCCTATGACTTAGGACACCTCCATATATCATAATATACATTATATATACATATATATGGCTACCCATATATTAACATAATATATGTATATTTATATATATATATATATATGGATTTAAATTCTATTCCCCTTTTTGTTTTCGGATATCTAAATAGCTTCATGTGAAAATCAGGCACCTCAAAATCCAATTCTTTATGATCATTTTCCCATTTATTTGATGGCTATTTATACGGTCTATTTTGGGGTAGACCCCATTTTCCACATCCAAATCATATCAAGTTGGTTATATATCCCATTCAAATCCCATTTATAGTGAGTTTTCCCATTAAAAATGGTGATTTTCCATAGTTTTTGTATGTTTACCAGAGGGTAACATCCATTAAATCACAGCCAAATCATGGCGCAGCACAACGGCACTTTTGGCCTGGCCAACTCAGGAAATCCAAGAGTCGCAGCCGTAGCCGGCGACGAAGGCCTGGGGGATGTTCGCCAGGTTTGATGGCCGTGCTTAATGGTTTTTAATGGAGGTTGGATGAAGCAAAAATGTCTTTTTTGAGTTTTTGTTGGATTCTGAATGTGTCAACATGTCGCTCAAATTTTCGGAGACGCGCTTTGATGATTGATTTCAATTGGATGCAGTTTTTCTGACTAAGTTGGCTTTACGTCGACATAAGGTGTGCTAGAGGCGCAAATCTCATTTCATGAACTGCGTGGCTGTCGGAAGCGGTGTCAACTGTCCCAATTGAAGAGAACCATGTGTGGCCGGCCTTGCCCTTCGTTACATCCAATAGCACATAGCTCCCAGTTGCGGATGGTAAAATTACGACAACTAAAGAACCCATTGCTAAAGGTCGGTAAAGTTGGGTTTGGTTTAGGGCCCCTTAGGGGTTTAGGAGTTTACCACAAATTCCCCGTGGTCACGACTGGAATTTGCGGAAACACGTCTCGTTTTCAAGACGCCGATCCTCGTCTTCCTCTTCCTCTTCGGACTCACGATCCAAAAGCTCAAGGCGGGGAACCAGTCAGAAGGGGGGCCATGAAGCAGTTGTTCTATGAAGCTCTTGGGCTTCGATCCAGCTCAGGTCCAGATCTCGCCGAGGCCTGTGTGTCGAGTTCAGTTTGTGGTCATCAACCAGTCATCACCATTGGATTCTTGAGATAAAATCCTCGATTTTCCCATGGATTCTCCCCTTAAGCACCGGATTCTCAGGTTGTTCGACACGGGGCTTTTCCAGTGATCGAACCTTGGGGGTGGTGCCATGAAATTTTGTGTTTCCCGCCACGGCAGGTAGCTGATGCGGCAGTCGGGCGCTGCAAAAAAAAACATGTGAAATCATGGAGCGGATGTGAAAGGAGGGAAGATGTGTTTCCAACTTTTTTCCAGAAGGCATTGGGAGTGGCATGAAAACAAACTCCAGTTATCTCAAGTAATCAAGTAATCAAGGCCCAAATTGTGTTTGGTACAGCCCCACACGTGGATGCAGAGTATGCATGCTTCCCGCAGCGTCAGACATGATACCAGAAGTTCATCCAACGGTCCAAGTCCAACGGTCCTAGATGATTTTGGAGGGACTGTATGCTGCAGTGAACGTGAACGACAGATCAATAAAGTAGGAGGATAGATTAATCAAGACAATCAAGGATTCGTGGCAGGGCACAATTTCTATTAAATTCTGATGCAGTCATTTTTTAAGAAATTGACGCTTGAAGCCAATGCCATGAAGTACTTGTGGCTGCTGCTAGTCTGGTATCTTGCCGCTATTGGCATTTGATGTTGAGTCGAGCCCCGCCGAGCTTTTCCTGATTTTTTGGACTTTGGAGATGTTGACGATGTTGACGCGAGGGGCACAATAGTCAACAGGAGCCTATGTCATCAGATGTCCTTTCAATATCTTTCAATCAGTGCCTGTCACCTGAGGCATGGCCAGTCTTTGCCGCTCTTTCCCAAGGATTGTGGCAGTGGAAGCATTGTTTCACCATTGATTGTGCAGCAAGTGATAGGATTCAAGAATTGCAACAACTTTTTTCACTTCTTCGCACAATTCGGACATGGAATGCTAGTGAATGCTATCAGTTTTTCACCTGGAGATATGACTCACTTCCGTGGAAGGATGTGTGTTGCGCACCCAGTATTCCACAGTATATAATGTTTGTGACTCAAATATATGCTTTGAGGCCATTGAATCATGGCTGTGGCATCGTCAATGATGCTCTGAACTGTCAAAAGTCGCCTTTGGCTCCTCAACATTTGGGGAAAATGCGTTATGATATGTTATGATCATGTTTTCCCATTGTCTGATGGCAAAAATGGGGGGTTTATATACCACATACATTTCTAGACAAACCATTAAATGTCAATCATATCAATCATATATATCAATCACATCAAAAAGAATCATATCACACATCAATTTTTCAACACATGATATAACAATCCCGTCATACAAAAAACGCTCGAGCTGATGGTTTACCGCTGCCGTTGAGGAGCTCTACTGCTCCAATGCCTCAGTCCGTCTCAAGATGCAGGTGGGGATCTGCCGGGATCTGTCGCAAAAAACACTTGGGATTTGCGCGCTTTGTCGTTCGGAAAATATCGGAAAATCATCGAAACATATCGGAAAATCATGGGAACAATAAGGACAAATCATGGGAAAAATTGACTATAAATGACGGTTTTATTGGGATCATGGAGAAATTTAGAAAAATCCTTCAATGGAGGTTTACAGCATTTTATGGCTGGGAAAATCAACGGTTTGTCGATTTTCTGTCGCGTATAAATTCCCAATGAGAAATCCACTAATTTGGAAATCTATATTCTGGTTGGTGGTTTGGAACATGAATTTTATTTTTCCATAATATATGGGATAATCATCCCAACTGACTAACTCAGATTTTTCAGAGCGGTGGCGAAAAACCACCAACCAGATATTGTAGAGTTGTTTTTTTTCATTTTGGGCTTCCGATCTTGATAGTCTGATGTGAATATCCTATTGAGGGTTCATGATGTTCATGCATATAAATCGGGATTTCGTATACATCGTACAACATCTATTAATGCAATCAGATTGCGAAAAAATAACATTGGGAACATCACTGGGATATTAGTTTAACATTGAACCATATATGGAGATCATCAATCCACCATCAATATATCACTTGGGATTACTGCAGCCGAGCAGCGGAAATCCGTACGGAAAATCCTGGCGGGATTTCGTGCCAGGACACACGGCAGGGAGGCGTGGTCCAGGCCGAGCGAGGACCGAGGACTTCAGCAATTTCCGTCTTTATTTTGTTTGTTTCAAAAACCACCATCCAAATATATCCATCTTATATCATTTTATATAATTTTATATCATTTTATATCCATTTTATATCATTTTATATCCATTTTATATCATTTTGTGCAATTTGATGTCTTCGATGAGTCAAAAAAGCCATGCTAGCTTTTCTGGCGTTTTTGTGTAAATAAAACCATATACCCTCTGGTGAACTAACATAGCAATGGAAAATCACCATTTTTAATGGGAAAATCCACTATAAATGGCCATTTTCAATTGCTATCGCGCCCAATTTTGGTCAAATCACCACTGATTTTGGGTCAGGCAGACATCCCCTGTGACAGTCGCGCTTTTGGACGAAAGAGTACCTGCTGCAATGCCGAGGAGAGTTCCAACGAGAGAACTGAGTTGGCCAATTTGATTTGGATGGGACATGATTATGACATACATATAGTGGGGCCCCCGTTCGATAGCGTTCAGTTGGTGAACATAACTCCAATGTCACTATGGTTTATGGTACGCAAATAACTATAGTTATGGGGGTTTACAAACCAACTTATAACTGGGGGGCCCCACATTGTATTATGATATGATTTGCACCAGCTCGGATTCCACACCCAACCATGTGTCATCACTGAGATTCGACAATTGCATCCGTTCCACACAACCATGTGTCATTATTGAGACGTACAGTAACGTTATCAGTTATTTTTACTCATATTTTTCATACGTAGTTTAATCATGTTTAAATTACAAGTAGATATACTGTATTTGTTCAAACATATTGTGTCTGAACAGCGTTTTCTTTTATTCCAACATATTTTCTCATATCAATATGTTATTTTTAAAATCAGTTTTCTATGAGGTTTCACATTAAGGGCCTTGGTGATTGTGTTCCTTCGGGGTTTGATTCAGTAACATATGTGCTGGCGGGTCGTTGGATGTCTTCTGTCTTCACCGCCGACCTCCATTCAGCTAGTATTATCCCCAACTGAATGGAAAGTCATAAAATTCCATGGTTCCAAACCACCAAGCAGTAGTAAAGTGACTATGATATCCATGATCATTGTCAGATGAATAGATTTTACCACGACTGTTGACATCGCCAGGATGTGACGACGGTGATGGAGCATTTGCAGTACCAGCGGCTGCAGATATTCGTGAAGCGGTGCTGATGGATACGTATGGCTTTTTGGAAACCTATGCGTAAGAAGGGTTTGACCGCATGGTTTTTTGCCTTTTTTGCAAAAAACATGAATGTATTATTAGATATTATTAGTATTTATTCATGTATATACTGTATTTATATACTCTACTATTTGGTTAACACTTATGTTTTAACTAACAGACATGGATATGTTTGCTTCACCATTGGATCAGTGTATTGACCACACCTTTCTGCCTAGGCACACCATGGACTTTGGCATGCGACACCTGACAGATCGGAAGGAGCAGGGACATCTGGCAGATGGTGAATTTCCGCCGGTGGTTGGTGGTGGGCACCATTCGCCCGCGTGAGTCACGCCACGTGAGGTTTCTGGAGGAGTACAGCAAGGTGTCATTGCAGCAACATCCCTGTGGGGAGGCTCCAGAGGCGCTATGGATATGGATAGCTATGGATAGCTATGGATAGCTATGGTGCATGCTGTGTCCACTCACCACAAAAGAATAGATCAAAGATGGGCATGATTCCATGGGATGATGAATTTTCCTAAAAATCCCATTCGTGGTTCATATGCATATCATACATATGTTATATATCATACTATCAGATGTTATCCGATTAAAGGTGAACTAATCTGGTTCCATGGGAAATTCCAGCCCTGCAGGCCATGTTGCGGATGCGCTTGGAGAAACTCTTGGAGTGCCAGCAGATTTCAGAGGAGTGCCATGTGATTCCAATGATTTCCAATGGATGTAGCATGTACAGTATGTTGAGTCATTGTTGAGTCATATCTATATCATTCTGTATCTAGATGAGATAAATTAGATGAGGCTTGAAAACTCCAACGTCTCCAATTTAGTCTAGTGAGTCCTCCTAAAAAACGTCTAGTATAGTCTAGTGAGTCCTCCTAAAGAACGTCTAGTATAGTCATGTATATTCTAGTATCTATTTAGTGTCCTACCATTCTTCCGGTAAGGAAATGGGACCATGGCAGGAGGTCTTGGGACTGCTGCAGGCAACAGTGAGGCGCAGCCTCAAGGGGTTTTAGGCAGGCACGAGTAATGAAGGCTGCTGGATATAGTTATAAAATGTTATAAAGTTACAAAAATGTGTTAATCCACATTTCTGTAGGTACAAAACATATAAACATATATATATATAAAGTTATAACATATATCATCTGTAGGTACAAAAATACTAATGTGTAATACGTACATATAATATATCTATATAGTATGTATTAATCTACGTATGTATACTTCGTTACTTCGTTGCAAAAGAAATGGAAGGAACAGCACATTCCTCTGAAGTAAGGTAATCTTTGCGATTTCACCAAAATGTTCGTGTCAGATGAGGGTACCCCCAGTTCTCATCCATGTATAGATGGATTTTCCATGATTTTCGAATATAAAGCATCCGTTACGAGCTTGGGGTACCACTATTTATGGAAACCTCCACATGTTCGAGGTCATGTTTATTTCGAACGAAGACCTGATTCTGTCAAGCCCCCGGGTCCCCCTCCCCTGGGTTCGTCCATCGCAGTCACTTGCTTTGTGCTGCCTGTCGTGGTGGTGTTGAGTCCAATGCCGCATTGATGGTAGATGCAGAGGTTGGGCCTTGAGTCGAACGCCGCAACGGAGACGTAACGTGGTGGGGGCACCACCTGGGGGAAGCCACAAGACCTTGTGACCTTCACGGCATTTGACGGCAACAGCTGAGGCATTCACCGTTCTAATCCTACTTTCAAAAAGGGGCTCAGTGGACTGAGATGGCTTGATCTGGATGAAGCACCACCCGTTGAATGGCCAGGTTGCTCTTTCCGATGAATGGAAGCGGCTTTCTGTGGCCACACAGAAGATCTACCAGGATCACCGGTGCCAGTTGGGTGCTTAGGCAAGCATGGTCAGGGCTCTTCATAGTTTGCCTTTCTAACGTTTTTTTTTTAAAACATGTTAAGTCTATATAATATATCATATAATATCTACAATATCATTGAACCATCATGAGACTTCTAAAATATCGTTACTTATCCATAGTATGTGTGGCTTCAAACATTAACAATAGATTGACTTTTTCGGTGGTCACACTCCCATTGGACCGGTCCCCAGGAGATTCGTGCTCACGATGCAGCCATCGCTGGTCAGATGCGCCAGGCAGTGAAACAGAAAACCTTGCCTGGTAGATCATATAACGAAAACATATCTGAGGAACTGATAATTATACTTTTTTTTTGAAATACAGATATCACCAGTTCTGAAAATATGCTGAGAAGTATGTATCAAGCTGCCTCTCAAGCTGCGCTCCACATGACAATTCCACGCTCGATCACCATCCTTTCCAACATGGTTCCATTGACATTGCCCGCAGAACTGTAACCATTGTAATCGAACCTTGGCCGCCGTGCATAGCCGTGCTGTCGTGTGACTCACTCCAAAATGATCGAATCATTAGAATCTAGTAAAGTCCTATAGAATTCTATAGAATTCTATTGATACTCCTCATCAAACCAAATCTTGATCCCAAGCCAGGTTGGTGCAGAGGCCTGCATCATGGATTTCATCGAGGTGCCCGCCATGGCGAGTTCTGACTTCTATGGAACCAGGTAGATCTAGAGCGGTAAAAAATAAAAACACGTAGAAGCCACATAGTTCTATCCCAGTTCTATTCCAGTTCTATCCTATTCATGTTCCGTCCTGATTTGCCTGAACCCCCCCCAAACAAATGCTATACCCTCTTTAAAGTTGGGTGTCAAAAAACTGTTCCCCGGAAAAATATGATCCCGCATTTAAGTAAGGATTTCACTTGGCGACAATTGAAATTTAATAAAAACTGTTTTGCCAATGAACTTGTAACTTGTGATATTTGTAGTACTTGTAGTACTTGTAGTGAATGGGGTTCAGCATGTTGATTGCGTTACCTTTTCCACCCCAAGTTTTTTTGTCAAAGGTGTAACAAGAGAAAGAGAAGGAGAAAGAGAAGGAGAAAGAGAAGGAGAAAGAGAAGGAGAAAGAGAAGGAGAAAGAGAAGGAGAAAGAGAAGGAGAAAGAGAGAGAGAGAGAGAGGAAAGAGGAAGAGAAGGAGAAAGAGAGAGAGAGAGAGGAAAGAGGAAGAGGAAGAGAAAGAGAAAGAGGAAGAGGAAGAGGAAGGGGAAGAGGAAAGAGGAAGAGGAAGAGAAAGATAAAGAGAAAGATAAAGAGAAGCTAGCTAGTGCAAAAGGCTTTTCTTTCTTCTCTTGGCTCCAGGATCACCTCCGGAAAAGTTTGCTGTAATTCCGAACTTAGGCAACAATTCTACTAAAAAGAACTGGACCCTCTCATGGTCCAGTGACTTGGAGCTTTGTGGAAAAGCAGTTCTTTAATAAAGGTTTTATAAGCGATCTGATTCTTTTGGGAAAGGCAGACAAACAATATTTTTCCAGAAACATGTCAATATTTTTTTTCACACACACACATTTTTACGAAAAAATTGGTCTGCGAAGAATTCTTGCCATAATAGCGAAACGTCCAACCATTACATGGGTTCAGAATAGTTTGGACAATTTTGGCCACATAGGCGAACCTAGCTACTAATCAGGATGCAACATTATACCACCATGATTTTGGCTTAAATCCCTATCAGTGGTAGGGTAGTTAAATCAACAACTCTGTGCTTTTTTACCACCTTGTAGTGCTGTGAACCCGATGAATGGATGATGAAGTCGCGATTGGGATTTTTGGATGATCCACGTGAAGGTGCACTGATGATGTACCTATTGTATAGTTATCTAATAAAATGGGCTAGCGCCCAGATGCCGCCGACCCCCCTAATTGGAGGGGGGGTACTGTAGAGAGACAGAGGGAGACGGACAGCAAGACAGACATATGGCCGTTTGCTTCTCAAGCAGCGAGAAGTTGCACCCTGCGTGCGGGAGTGGCGCGTGTTGGGCTTGTTGGGGTACCTTTTCCCTGCGGAGCTGGGCGGACCTTTAAGTGCAAAAGGCTTTTCTTTCTTCTCTTGGCTCCAGGATCACCTCCGGAAAAGTTTGCTGTAATTCCGAACTTAGGCAACAAACCTACTAAAAAGAACCGGACCCTCTCATGGTCCAGTGACTTGGAACTTTGTGGAAAAGCAGTTCTTTAATAAAGGTTTTATAAGCGATCTGATTCTTTTGGGAAAGGCAGACAAACAATATTTTTCCAGAAACATGTCAATATTTTTTTTCACACACACACATTTTTACGAAAAAATTGGTCTGCGAAGAATTCTTGCCATAATAGCGAAACGTCCAACCATTACATGGGTTCAGAATAGTTTGGACAATTTTGGCCACATAAGCGAACCTAGCTACTAATCAGGATGCAACATTATACCACCATGATTTTGGCTTAAATCCCTATCAGTGGTAGGGTAGTTAAATCAACAACTCTGTGCTTTTTTACCACCTTGTAGTGCTGTGAACCCGATGAATGGATGATGAAGTCGCGATTGGGATTTTTGGATGATCCACGTGAAGGTGCACTGATGATGTACCTATTGTATAGTTATCTAACAAAATGGGCTAGCGCCCAGATGCCGCCGACCCCCCTAATTGGAGGGGGGGTACTGTAGAGAGACAGAGGGAGACGGACAGCAAGACAGACATATGGCCGTTTGCTTCTCAAGCAGCGAGAAGTTGCACCCTGCGTGCGGGAGTGGCGCGTGTTGGGCTTGTTGGGGTACCTTTTCCTTGCGGAGCTGGGCGGACCTTTGGAGGGGCCTGGCAAACGGCAGCCTTGAACGCCTATAAGAGGCCCTTATAGCCATTGCTGCGGCCGGGGGGTGCCCTTGAGCCATTGCTGTGGCCTTGTGGTGGCTTTTGCCTGCGGGCGTGGCGCGTGTTGAGCTTGTTGGGGTACCTTTTGCCTGCGGAGTTGGGCGGACTTTTGGAGGATTTGGGGGGTTTGGAGGGTTTGAGGCCTGGCAAACGGCAGCCTGAAACGCCTATAAGAAGCCATTGCTGCGGCCGTGGGGTGCCCTTGAGCCATTGCTGTGGCCTTGTGGTGGCTTTTGCCTGCGGGCGTGGCGCGTGTTGGGCTTGTTGGGGTACCTTTTGCCTGCGGAGCTGGGCGGACTTTTGGAGGGTTTGGAGGCTTTGAGGCCTGGCAAACGGCAGCCTTGAACGCCTATAAGAAGCCATTGCTGCGGCCGGGGGGTGCCCTTGAGCCATTGCTGTGGCCTTGTGGTGGCTTTTGCCTGCGGGCGTGGCGCGTGTTGAGCTTGTTGGGGTACCTTTTCCCTGCGGAGCTAGGCGGACTTTTGGAGGGTTTGGAGGGTTTGAGGCCTGGCAAACGGCAGCCTTGAACGCCTATAAGAAGCCATTGCTGCGGCCGTGGGGTGCTCTTGAGCCATTGCTGTGGCCTTGTGGTGGCTTTTGCCTGCGGGCGTGGCGCGTGTTGGGCTTATTGGGGTACCTGGTTTGAGGCCTGGCAAACGGCAGCCTTGAACGCCTATAAGAAGCCATTGCTGCGGCCGTGGGGTGCTCTTGAGCCATTGCTGTGGCCTTGTGGTGGCTTTTTGCCTGCGGGCGTGGCGCGTGTTGGGCTTATTGGGGTACCTTTTCCTGCGGAGTTGGGCAAACTTTTGGAGGAGTTGGAAGGTTTGGAGGGTTTGAGGCCTGGCAAACGGCAGCCTTGAACGCCTATAAAAGAAGCCATTGCTGCGGCCGTGGGGTGCTCTTGAGCCATTGCTGTGGCCTTGTGGTGGCTTTTGCCTGCAGCGTTGGGCGTGGCAAGGGTTCAAGAAAGACAGGATCCACAAGGCGCCGCCCCGGCCTTGGCGAAGGCCGGGGTCGGCGGATATTATCTGTATATGAACACATATTTTATGTAGGTACCTGTAGGGATATGAATGTGTTTTTTTTTTTCCGGTGTTTTTCTCACTTGGAATAAGGCGTCACTTGGATAGGCACAGCGCCGTGGTGTTCCAGCTCATGGCACGTTGGGACACCCAGTTCAGGATTGCGCGGCATCGCAAGGTCCTGGAGCAACTGATGTCCCCGACGTTTGGTGCTCCAATGAAAAAGATCGCCAGTCTTAGTTTGGGTCACTGAAAAGGTATCTTATGGTGTTCTTTTAGTTGATCCCCAGCAAACATGACATGGATGAGTTTCTGCTGCAATGAAATTGGTCATGGAGCCATGATGACTTTTTGTTCCCAGCTCCCAAGGCATGTCATGAAGATCCGGCCCTGGCACTCTGATGAGGGGTTGGGAGGCGTGAAAAGCCGGCGGCTTTTCCCACAGCACTTCCCAAATTGGCTTGAGTTGAGTCGTGTGGTACCTGAAGATGCGGCCTGTTATATATTAATATATATGTATAATATTATATTATATAATTATATATATATATATTATGATATACCTTCCAAGTTATAGCAACTCTTAGAGGGAACATGACGATTCACCACTGGAAAATGGCATAGATTCGGCCATATTTTCTGCATCTCCTTTGAGATCCATACTGGGAAAACATGGTCCATCAAAGCTATCAGCATAGATAATCATATTAAACTATATAGTAACTATATATATATATATATATTGAATTCATGATACATGATTATACCAATTAATAGATCAAAGACGGATTGGCTTGAGTTTCAATGATTTCAATGTTAATCAACTATGGATGTTTGGACATGAACATCTCATGGTGAATGGCTAATCACAGGAACATCATTACTTGCAGTTGGGGTTATGAGTACAACCACGACCACCGTAAGCCCGATAGCCCGATAAGTTGGGATATAACTCAGAAATAGCTATGGTTATATAAACACGTATTACCCTCTGGTAAACTAACATAACTATGGAAAATCACAATTTTTGATGGGTAAATCCACTATAAATGACCATTTTCAATAGCTTTTTGTATGTTTACCAGAGGGTAAGTGCCGGTCCCTCAAATGACCACTGGCCTGGCTGTGAATCTCTTGGATTGAAAACTCTCAGGGCAATTTTTTTGACAGGAAGCTTGAGGGCCCATAGGGCCCATATATGGGCTTCCCAAGGCCAGATTATTACCCTCTGGTAAACACACAAAAAACTATGGAACATCTCCATTTTTTTTTAGAGAAATCAACTATAAATGGGCCATTTTCAATAGCTATGTTACATTACCAGAGGGTATTTTCATGAATATCAATTTACATCCACTATGAAAAATCTCATTCTCCCATGAAAATCCACCAATATCCACTGATGTAAAAGTGGCTGTCAGGCTTCCAAGAGACTTGGGAGAGGTATATCGATGGCCTCCTGGTCTGTAAGCTCAGTGGAAGGCGGAAGGATGCCATTGGAGAAAAATGATGGAAGACTGGGTAAAGTTGATGATATGAATCATTATCAGATGATATTCTCATGATGTTATAACCCATAGGATCCATGTATGCTATATATGGTAACATTTACCATCGATATACCCCAGTCATGTTAGCATATATATACCATACATGGATCCTATGGGTAATGCTATGTATTTTTCAGGTTCTGGCACAACAATCCTGCTGGATCCACACGTGGCTTTCAGCACACGCCGAGGGGCTGTCTACCGAGTCGGGCGCCCAGGAATCGTAGATCAGTGGATACCCCCAGTGCTGTATCCTGGAGTTATAATTTGTGGATGGAATGGAGAATCCTGGAGTATCCGAAATTTTCAGGGACCAAACCCACTTCAATTCTTGATCAAGGTGTTTTTCAAAGCTGGTTGCATCTCAATACTCAAAATACCAGCCTCCCAGGCTGGCCGAAAGCATTATGGCCGAGGCTGCTGGTTCAATTGTGGTCGAAGTTTATGACCTGGAGAGTAATCTAACATAGCCATGGAAAATGGATGAAAATGGATGGAAATGGCCATGGAAATCCGGGTAAATCATCTAGTGTCATGGGTTCTGTAATCTTTTTACATGGCAAACTGTGAAGATACCCTTAAAATGTTCCTCCGCGTTGACAAAGACAGGTCACTGGATTGCTGCTCAGTTTCCAACATGCGTGGGCCTCAACTGCCATGAGGTAATGGTAGTGCTCTACCAGCGTCACGCCGTGGGTCCACCCAGTTTCTCCATTTGTTTCCAGAGGAAGTTCCGGAAGTTTGAGACGTTTCGGCTCCCAGCTCCCAGCTGCCCATTCCAACCGCCCTGACTGCGCGATGGCACGAGCCGTGGCAGTTCTCAGCACCGTGCTCTGTGGAGCTGACCTGGTGCCTCAACTGCGTGGCAGCCTGGGTGAGTTGGAGAGTTGTGTCTCTAAGCCCAACTTCCAAAGGGCACAGAGTAGTTGGTGTGGACAGCAGCAGGAGCCAGTGGCATGCTTCAAGGAGTTGGATGATCTGAATCCCATCTGGGATTGTCACCTCCAAAGTGCCCAGTGTTCCTTGGGTGCCAAGCCTTGCGCCTGGCCCAAGGATGCCCTGGAGCTAGCGCAAGCGCCTGAGAGGAAGGTCTCGGAGGCGGCGGCGGGGAACCCCACGCGCTTCGTGACGTGGAACCTCTACGTCTTCACGCTGGCGGGCCGCATTCATCCGGTGGTGGACGAGCTCATGCGCATGCAGCCAGAGATTGCGGCCATCCCAGAGATGTGGCATGAGAAGCATGCCATTTTGGACCGTCTGAACCAAGTCTCCGGAAACGTCTATGCCTTCGCAACTGGTGGACAGACCGAACAGTTCAACGATGCAGACATTCTCTTCCGTGCTGACAAGTGGGAGCACATTGCCAGTGATTTGGTGCCCTTCAGTGCCGGGAGGGCGGTGAATTGGGCTGCGCTTCGTCGCAAGTCAGATGGATACACACTGCTGCCCGTTGGTGGTTTCATTCATGTTTTATTGAATGTGTTTTGCACCCAACTCCAAATAGGTTGGTTGGGTTTAGGTGACTCAATTGTTCGCGGGTTTCCACAGCAGTTTCCACAGCATCAGGCTGGCGGCCGGCACGCATCCTCTTTGCTGCCAAGGGGACTACGTCGTGATGGAGGCTGTGGATTTTGTGATTCGCACCTTGGCTGGAGTCCAACAGCAGCACCCGTATCCCATTGCCGCTTGGCGACGCGAAGAGCGAAGGGGCGAGCAGCTTTGAGATTGTAGGATGTGTCAGGTTTTAGCATCTATATGTTGGTGAATGTATACCAGCAGTACCCGCACGAGGCGGCGGAAGTTGCCTTTGGGATATAGATATACTATAAAAAATCTATAAAACCTTTTTCATCTATAGAACTTGCATGCGCCGTGCGCCAGCCAGGCCCGTGCGTGCGTGCTTTGTACGAACCTGTTGCACTGTTGCCGTCCAAGAACATGACCTGCGTGCGACCACGTTGCAATGCAACGCCAAGCGAACACTTTCTTCACACTTCAGACTGCGCTCTTCACACTTCACACATCACACTCCACACTTCATCTCATCTCACCTCATCTCAGCTCTTCTCATCTCATCCCATCTCTTCTCACATGTCATCTAAGTAAGTTTCTCAACTGTTTTCATCTGTTTTGATTTCATCCAAGCACTGCTCAACCTTTCTCATCTCATCAAAGTTCTTCTTAGCTCATCTCAGCTCTTCTGCACAGTCATGCAGCCATTACAATGCATTTTGCAGCACCACCTACACATCCATGCAGCCATTACAATGCGATTTGCATCCACACGTTGCAGAAAACCGAGGGAGAACCGATTCGACCCCGAAACGACCGCAGCCGCACCCGCTGCACACAGGAGCTTACTACTACGTACTGCTACTGCTACTTACTACCACTTACTACCACTTACTACTACTTACTACTACTTACTACTACTTACTACTACTTACTACTACTTACTACTACTTACTACTACTTACTACTACTTACTACTACTTACTACTACTTACTACTACTTACTACTGCTTACTACTACTTACTACTACTTACTACTACTTACTACTACTTACTACTACTTACTACTACTTACTACTACTTACTACTACTTACTTACTACTACTACTACTACTTACTACTACTTACTACTACTTACTACTACTTACTACTACTTACTACTGCTACTTACTACTACTACTACTACTACTTACTACTACTTACTACTACTTACTACTACTTACTACTACTTACTACTACTTACTACTACTTACTACTACTTACTACTACTTACTACTACTTACTACTACTTACTACTACTTACTACTACTTACTACTACTTACTACTACTTGCTACTACTTGCTACTACTTACTACTACTAACTACTGCTAACTACTGCTAACTACTGCTAACTACTACTAACTACTACTTACTACTTACTACTTACTACTTACTACTTACAACTTGCTACTTACTACTTACTACTTACTACTTACTACTTACTACTTACTACTTACTACTTTCTACTTCTGACTACTAACTACTAACCACTAACCACTAACCACTAACTACTTACTACTACTACTACTATTACTACTACTACTACTACCACTACTACCACTACTACCACTACTACCACCACCACCACCACCACCACCACTACCCCTACCGCTACCGCTACCGCTACCGCTACCACTACCACTACCACTACCACTACCACTACTACCACTACTACCACTACTACCACTACTACCACTACTACCACTACTACCACTACTACTACTACTACTAATACTACTACTACTACTACCACTACTACTACTACTACTACTACTACTACTACCACTATTATGCATTGTTATTGCTTTTCCAGTCACTGTTAACTCGGAAGATTGCTTCCCAACTTCCTTTGATCATGTACTGTAAACGATTGGATGTTTGGACTTGATGTCATCATATGTTCATTATGTAATATAGTTATCTACAACATTCTAAGCATCTCTACTGGTAACAGATATGATGTGCTTGATACTGCAACACTGGTACTATTCTGAAAGAGAAACACATGGCCATATCTCCCAGAATCTCCCAAAGTTGGATCCAATAAAAAACAGACCGCCTACAAAATTCATCACTATCAATCACTTTTCCCTAAATCTTCCGAGTTTTTCCGAATTTTCTTTGTCACGAAAGCTAGCGTCAGCTAGCTGGAGTCTTCTTGCTTTAGCAAGTATTGGGGGGGCTGCTCAAGGACATCACGTGATTTTTCACGCGAAAGGGCCCCCCCCCCCCCCCCACCCCGTGGCAGGGAATAATTGGTATAATGCGATTGTGGTCCTTGAAGATATATTGCAAACAAAATGAAGCGCCCTATGCCTTGATCATTCCAACACAACAAAGATTTACAGCACATGTTATATAAAACAAGATTGAGCAAGAACTTGTGAAGGCAGGCTGCAATCTCAACTAAATGTTTTGAGCTACCTGTATGGGTTTCTTACTCCTGTGAAAGAGTTGCATGATTTTGCTTCCATCTCCGGGCTTGCGTTCCTGGGCGTTGCTTTTCTCCCAGTACACTCTCCTAGGATGCTATGGGTGATCGGGGCCGCGTGATTCTACACTTGTCTCCCACTTGCGTCTCACTGTCTCCAAGTAACAAGTACGCTATGGATGCTCTGGGCTGCATGGTTCCACACTTTTCTCCCCCACTTCTGCCATTTCTCTCCACCTGTCTCGCAGTGTGCTGTGGGTGCTTTGGGCCGCATGATTCTGCTTGTCTCCGACTTTTCTCCGACTTGCCTCCGACTTGTTTGCCATTCCTTGGAAGCGCTGGGTCGCATGGTGCTACAATTGTTTCCAACTTATCTCCCAGTATGCTGTAGGTGCTCTGGGCCACATGAACCTACACTTCTCTCCCATATACGCTCAAGGTGGTCTGGGCCACCTGAATCTAAACTTGTTTCCCTTGTCTCCCACTGTCTCTAAGTACGCTGTGGATGCTCTGGGCCGCATAATTCTGCACTTGTATCCCACTTGTCTGTGGATGCTTTGGGCCGCATGATTCTGCGTTTGTACCCCGCTTGTCTCCCACTTGTTTCTGACTCTGGGTGCCCTGGGCCACATGATTCTGCACTTGTCTCCCCCTTTTCTCCCACACTTGTCGCCAGGTTGCCCACCGCTTGACTCCCACTGTCTCGAAGTACGCTGCGGGTGCTCTGGGCCGCATGAGTCTACGCTTGTCTCCCGTGCTGCACCTGTCTCCTAGTTGTCTCTCTCCCAGGCTCTGCGCTGGATCGACTGTCTCCAAGTTGGCTGCCTGGTTCTCCGCTTTCGAAGAAAGGTGTGGATGCTTTGGACCCCCTGATTCTAGACTATCTCCCACTTGTCTCCCAATGTGCTGTAGGTGCTCTGGGCCGAATGACTCGCGCTGCGGGTGCTTTGGGCCCCATGATGCTGCACTTGCCTCCCACTTGTCTCCCAGTATGCTGTGGATGCTCTGAGGTGCATGGTTCTACACTTGTCCCCCACTTGTCCCGCGCTTGTCTCCGACTGTCCTGCTGTATGCTTTGGGTTCTCTGGGCCGCCTGATTCTACACTTGTTTCCCGCTTGTTTCCCGCTTGTTTCCCGCTTGTTTCCCGCTTGTCTCCCACTGTTTCCCAGCATGCTGTGGGCGCTGTGGGCAACATGACTCTACACTTGGTGACGGGCCAAAAAATTTAGCACTACAAAGCACAGTTTATATATATATACACACATTTGTGTTTAGCGTGAGCATTATCCATCTAATTATTGGTGTTATTTTGGCCTATACGCGCTTGTCTCCTGTTTGTCTCCGACTGTCGCCAAGTACAGTGTTGGTGCTCTCTGGTCAGCATGACTAACGCTTCCGCTCGTCCCCCACGGTTTCCAAGTGTGCTGTATGATCTTGGCCGCTTGGCTTGCACTTTCCAGATGTCTTGTCGATGCTCTGGGCCTCTGGGCCGCGTGGCTCCACACTTGCCTACCCGCCTACCCCTTGTCTTGCAGATCCGGCTGATTCCAGAATTTCCTGCCTGTCTCCAACTTGGCTCCCAGCTGTTTCCCATCTGCAAATGCTCTCTGGATGCTTTGGGCTGCACTTGCCTCCCACTTGTCTACCAACGTCTCACAGTATGCTGTGGATGCTCTGAGCTGCATGGTTCTACGCTTGCCCCCCACTTGTCTCCAACTGGGCCCCCCTGTGTCTGCAAGAGTATTGTGGGTTTTGGGCCGCACAATTCTACACTTATGTCCCGCTTGTCTCCCACTTGTCTCCGACTGTCTCCCAGTATGCAGTGGGTGCTCTGCACTTTTCCCGTACTGTCGATACTTTGGATGTTCTGTGCCGCATGAACCTACACTTGTCTCCTACTGTCTCCAAATAAGTTGTGGGTGCTCTGGGCTGCAGGAAGCTACACTTGTTTCCCTCTTGTCTTCTACTGTCTCACAGTACGCTGTAGTGTGGGTGCTTTAGGCTGCTTTTTATTTTCGTTTGTCTCCTACTTGTCTCCCAGTACGCCATGCTGCGCGATTTCAGAAGAAGTTTATTGTCGGGTTCGTTGGTGCATCATTGGGGTGGTAGGAGCGTGCCTTCCACTTGTTTCCACGCGTTTCACATTTGCTTCCCAAGTTTGTTCCTGTGATTTTGTTCTTTGGGACCGCAGACTTTACTTGGCTACTTGTCTCCCACTTGTCTACCGCTTCTTTTCCTGTCTGCGGAGGAATTGGGACCGAATATTTCCTTTACTGTATCTCCTACTTGTCTCTCATTTGTCGTTTGCTTCTGTCTCTGTGCTGTCCTTAAAGTGGAAAACATGATTTGTCTACCGCTGAACCCCACCTTTCTCCCACTTCCGTCTCTGTGCTGCGGCCTTTGGTCCCCTGTTTGTGTTCCAATTTCTTTGATTATTTCCTTTCTTACATGTATATGGTCTCATGGCGGCACCAATTCGGCGCCTGATGTTTCCTTCTTCTGTTTGGGCTCAGCGCTGTATAACTTTTGTTACTTGTTACTTGTTGCTGGCGGGATGGAATGGATGGTTCCGAGCAGCTTTTGTGGTTGCATTTCTCCCTTGCTTTGTCTCCTACTTCTGATTTATGCCCTTCCATCTTTTATCATTTCCTTAAACTTGTATCCTTGCGTAGTTGCACCCCATCAACACCTCATCTT